ACAATATCCTTAAATGTATATTCATGAAATATACCTGGAATATCTATTGCTATGTGGGTCCATTTCAAGCCCCAACAAAATTATAGGAACAAAAAACGGGATTGATTGATCCTGTTACCCAATTAACCTTTCTTGTGAATATACCTAACCTAAGTATAGCTGAAGTATATTACTGGCCTTTAAATAACATCAATTTCGTATATTGTTGCCGTACGGAATACCTATGGTGTTGCCCCACCTTGTATATTTTGGTAATTCTATGAAATAACAATAATTAGAAATATGTAGGAATGTACTTACTTTCTTTGGCTGCATGTAATTTGGCAATTCTGGGAATATAGTGGGGACTGCTGAATTCAGTAAACGTCCTTTAAAATCAGTTTGATAAAAGCTTTTCAAAATGCTTTAAACATAATGTATCATTTGGCGACGGCGTCCAATTTTCATATTTCACTGTCTGAACCTGAAGATTATTTTTTTCAGTATCCGCAGGAAATCTGAAAATAACTTAGATTAATTAAAAATGAAAACGTAATACAAGCATTTACAATAATAAAAAATCCAAAGTATAATATATTATATATATTAACGTCCATAAAAATTCTTGTACCGCACGCCTCTGGGAATCATAGCTCATCTGATGATTTGAAACCGATCCATTATTAAAACTTGAATGAAAATTCAAAATAAACAAACTCAACTGGTAATAATTATGATTCCTGCTTTGGGCCACGTACATTATATAAATACGAAATTGATTAATGATAGAAAACAACTTGAAATATGAAGAAACAGAACAACTATTATTTGATGATTTATTACTAACTATGAAACGTAATATCTGGTTTCTTTTTGTAACTACTTCTTTTACACTGGCATGCTCTACAAATAACCATTGTAACAAACTACCTATCAAAGTTCTTTTCAGTTATAAATCACACTAAAAATGGCTTAAATAGTTGTGGTGTTACACAAGCTTTAGTCACCAATCTAATGGCGGACGATCGATAACCGGCACAGTTTATTACGCTTGCTTAGATTACTAGTTACGCATCCTCTCCCTTCTCTTGTCTAAGGGTTGAACGATAGGAAGTGAAAATCAATCGTCCGGCCTTGCGGTTTGAACCACCGGTTCACACAGTTGTCGACTGAGTTACTGGAGCAAACCACCCACGTCAACACAACCGGCTACCATCCCACCAATAATTATTGTAGAAATATTCAAGAAAGTTATCAAATGTCAATAGAGAATGCATGATATGATAATGTAAATTATTCGTGAACTAGATTCTCATCAAGGAATAGGAAATAACTTCACAACAATATTACCATTGCAATGATCCCGTGTAAAAAAATTATTCCTAAAGTAGGAAAACCTCTATTACGTACTGGAACTGTAACAATATTCAATACAATGAATGTGAATTATATTCGTGAATGCTGAGAACTTGAGCTTTCACAAGATATTGAAGATCCATCCATGTACGTATTCGAATATTCTACAGTTGTAATTCATTTCAAAGAGAAAGCTTTCTTAAATCCTCTTTGACATGGGTATCCACTTAAAATATTGCACAACTGGGGAGAAATATTAATTATAACCAAGTTGGTTTCCTTGCTCGGTTTCCAGTTTATTACTCCTTTCAGCTTGTAGAATTTCAAGAGAATGTGGACACAAGAATCAGTAATACATATGTTTACACTTGTGAAATTACTGACGGGTAAGCTATTCACCAGAAACAATATTTTTTTGCTGCAAATCTCAGAAAATGAAGTCATAACTGAAGGCAAAATAAATAAATAACCGAGTGAAGGTGAGACTGGATTAGATCACAAAAATAGTCAAATGTTTTAAATCATAAAGTATCCATGAAAGCAAACTGAAACTAACCAATCATGTGTAACTATTTTATAGCCTAATCGATCAGTCTAACTCAAAGTTATTCTTGGTGAACTCTTCATGAAAGAGGTTTCAACAAACACTGATGAATTCAAGAGATTTTCACAAGTATCGGCCGATTCCATCTTGTTTTTGAGTTTTACGTGTCTGAAAATACTACTATCGGCTTTCGAGGACTTCCATTGAAATATATAAGTACAACCAACAGGCAGATGAGGCTAGCCTTGTTGAAAGTGCAGTGAGGCAATATACATTTGAGTATTGGTGTGGAATAAAGTTGAGTTTTATTGTGAAGTGGTCCATTACTGTCGAACCCACAAGAAAAACCTAACAGTATTCAAGCAAAACATTGAATTATTAGATATAATTGGGGATTTTGATCCGCTTCTGAGGCTGCTGGATACTATGCAGTGAAAAACTTTGAATTTAATCTGTAAGTCATCCTATTTGATTATTTTGCCTATCCAACTGAAACTGAAACGTTTGCGATTTCTACATCTGAATCGAATTCTCCATTACGACTTTTATATTTCCAAAATTGTTGAAGTCGGAAAAATCCGAAAAGATCGATAAACAATTTGTAAAGCGAACTTCATTTGCAGTTATCGTGTAACCATTTCCCTGCCTAATATATTCCATCAGTTCCTACGAGACTCAACTCCAAAACCATGGAAGTGAATAGGGAAATGAAACTCTCTCCTCCCTGAAGCATATGCTATTCCATATCTCGGGAATCTTGAAGCCACTCCTAATTTGGATAATTACAAAATCAACCCCTAGTTTTCATCCGTGTTCCAACCAAACTCGTGGTAAATTATTGAAGGAATTAATTAATGGCGAAGGCCGACTCGTGTCAGGTGAACTGGATCTAAAATTACTTAGTTTTAGTAGTCAGTTGATTTATTGTTTGATGAGGTGATATTTATCAACGAACATATATTTCATTATGACAATTGTTAGATAATTCTTATTCTTATGTTTGTTTGAAGGTGGTTGACAACGTTTCGTGGTGTATTTCATCAGTTCGGACTTCCATTGTCTAATATAATATAAATTGACTTGAAATCCCTGAAAAAAATGAAAAAGATTAACCGAAAATAACAATTTTATTAAACAAAAACTGATATTACAAAGAAATAACATACAAGTAATAACCGAACAAATAAAAAAAAATTGAAATATTAATAAAAGCTGAAAATTAAAAATTATTATTGAGAAAAATGAAAAATAAAAATTAGAAGATTCCAAACCAAGTTATGTCACGACGTTTCGATTGATAGTATTTTTTAATTTTTTTTTTTAATTTTTTGTTAATAAGAAGAAAGAAAATTGTTATGGAGAATTGGTGACTAACTATGATAGAAGTAACTGACGGTGTCGGCGAATTGGTGGGCTAATGCCACGCAATTTTTTATGAAATTTTGGACATGAAGCGTGTGGCAGCGTAGTTCGTTCCAAAATTGCCGAATTTTTACCAAAATACCCGTCTCATAAACATCGCTCAGGAATTGAATATGTTTCATCACACCAACAACCTGCGTTCGATTCTCTAACGAAAACTTTTTTTATGACGTTAAGAAACAAAAATTTGTGACTGGGTGGTCTGTTTCGTCGAGAGATAAGCCTGATCCTGGTTGTCTGTCTGCTTGAATCAGTTATGTCCACAAAAAATTCAAATATTCCGCCATGATGTTCTGAGATGCAGAAACTAGCGCTCTGATTGGCTGGCGAGCTGTGTCTCAGTTTGAGGACACTCCGTGACAATTTGGTACACTCTGATTGGCTCACCGCCTGGCTGGCTGGATGACAGTGCTAGGATACCACGTGACATTTTGGTGCACTCTGGTTGACTGGGTGGTCTGTCTGTCTTGTCTGGAGAACTGAAAGACAACTTGACTGATGTGATGACGTCACTGTCTGCCTGAAGTGCAGCAATACCTACAGCGATCAAGATTCGCTTCACAGGGTCATAATTGGTGACAAATCATGAGTATATAGTTATGACATCGAAACCAATTCCGATCGTGGTATTGCTCTTGCTCCATCAACAGCAATACCATTTTTGTGAAACGATTCATCTTTTGCCTCAAAATAGGCCACAGTTTCAGCAGAGACCTCTTCATTCGGGCGACATTTTTTACCGGTGAGGTCTGCGAGCAGCCACTAGGCGCTCTGGGCCAAATCTGGCGAATATGGTGTATACGGGAGCAATTCAGAAACTAATTTTATGCAATTCTGTAGTCGTATCCATTGATTTGTGACACTGTGACACTGCCTTGATGAAGCAGCACTTTCATTTTCTCCAAACGGGGCCATAATCTTTCCAGCCAATTGTTGTGCTCACCTGCGCTTTACGCGAGGTTCACCAGTTACTCTCCACTCAGATGACGATCGTTTTGATTATGAAGTGAAGTGATAGATCCATGTTTCATCCATTGTTACATATCGACGAAAAAATTTGGGTTCGTTTTGTTTGAACAGTGCTCAAAATCATCAAGACGTTCTCGTTTCGGGTCAACAGTGAGCTCGTACGGCATTCACTTTGTAAAGAGCCTTTTCATAGTCAAATGCTCATGTAATATAAAGCCAACACGTTCTTTTGATATCCTGACAATGTCAGCTAACTAACGCATCTTCATTTTTCGATCATTTAAAACGATTTTGTGGATTTGTTTGGTTTTTTGGTGTCCACTGCGTTCTTCATCATGGGTGTCTCTACGACAACGTTTGAAGTCAGCAAGTCAACGTTCAATCGTTGTTTCTGATGAAGCAGAGTCCTCATGACACATTTCAAACCATTGCTCTTCTTGAACGGTATTTTTTTCATCAAAAAACAGTGAAAGATTAAAACATGAAATTCTTTTCTATCCATTGTTTTGAAAATAACAAAAGTAGTGTCACTCTCATCACAATAACTAGCAAACGCATGAGTAGAATATCATGAAATTTTAAAAGCTATGTGCTAAGCTCGATACTTTTCAGCCCATTTAGTACAATAAAGAAATGAGAGGAATATCGATTCCAATTGATATTTGATGAGACACAAATTTTTCAAATGAAATTTTCAGTTGCGTCAAGTGAGATAAATATTTTGTTTCAGAGTGGGATCGGGACCACGGTGGCTCCCACGACATGGAGGTGGAGGTACGCGAAGAGGCATCCTCAGATCGGGCCTCTTCGAGGTACCCCACCACGCTACTGGGCAACAATACACCACAGTATCCTGTGGCAGGTGAGTTCAAAATACTACATTGATACCATCTCATGGATTTCATAACACAAGAGTTCGTCATAAAACGACCTTTTCATTGAAACGGCAATCAAACAATCTTCAATGCATTCAATTTTCAATTTCTATTGAAAGACAATACTCATCGATGAGTTCTTGTCTCATTTCCGTTGTGGGGGTGAAATAAAACAAAGAGAAAAGAGATTTTCTTAATCTTCGATAGGATGTACTATGTAAGAAAACCTTCTTCAGCCATGAATCGATTGTACAAACAAAACATTCTATTGTTTACACTCAACATTTTGACCTGTGCATCAGAAAAGTGCAGATCTAGAACATTCTTGCACTGTTCCATAGATATCAAACCCACTGCCAATAAAAGGTAGTTGTTGATGATGATGATTCGTACTGAGAAGAAAAATTGTAAATAGAGCAAGTCGTTTTACTGAATAAGTCAGGTCGGTTTAGTGAAACAGTTGAGTAAATGGTTGAAAAAGTACATTGTGGTACGAGTATAGCATTGTTGTGTTGTCATCACATACAGAAATCCTACCCTGAGGAAATTAGAAGATGACTAGTACAATTCTGGTATATAGCAGAAAGTTTATAAAATTACAGACTTGTTTCTAATGACTTGTTCATAAAAATAGATGTATCGAACCATTTCGTAATTGAGGTTATTTTCAATCAGAATGAAAATATTTTCATTCAACTTGTCACATTACTAATTGGCTTATTATGAAATATGCACGAGTGCATTCAAATTAATTTTTCATAGAAAACTCTTCAATATTTGCTATTATTATTGAGTAATAATTGATCTAGCGATAATTAAGCGCGCAATAACAAAAATACGTAATACGAACACGCAAAAGCAAAATAATATTATATTTTAAAATCATATTTCGGTCGACTGATACATTTATAATAATAATAATTATTTATTCAAAATTCAAATATAAATACAAATGAGAAGTACAAATTGAAAGTTTAAATAAATAACGAGATGCTCGATAAGTAAGTGAATACTTATTTCGAGATACAAATTTGGTGTGAATGGGCATATACATACATACATTGAAGTAGTTAAACGAAACTTCAGAATGAATAACATATAAAGGTATTCGACTACGAACATATTCTATTGTAAATGTAATTGAACATGTACAACTATTCTAATTTGTCATTATACTTGAAAAAAAATTAAATAAAAATACAAACACTATAATAATACAATACAAGGACACAGTCAAGGATCATTGAGCTTTCAACCAGTTCTGTTCAATATAATATGTCCTCTTCCAGATTCTGATTCCAGTTAGATGTTGGAAGAATACGTGAGGCTTTCCAAGGCGGGGGGCATGTTTGACAATTTGAATAAATAATTTATTTGGTTCCCTTTTTTAATATTTTTTGTAACGCCAATGTTCATTGAAATAATTGAAAAACGTCACGTAATTGTGAAACAATAAATTTGGAATTGTACAACATTCACGAAATGAAAACAGTTTTAGAAGCTATAAGCAGCCCAGTTTCTTAGTAGAACGTAAGCGGTTCAGACTTTAGTTTTTCAATAACATAATTTGGTAGCAGAGCGTCGTTATCGCAATGAAAAACATAAAAAAGTTGGTAATATCAAATGGTCAAAAAGCCTGTAGGGGATTTTTTAGGATATGTAATGGAATTTGAGGAGATCATAATGATCTCCTGAGGACACTTATGATCTCCTGGTTAGCGAAATATGCGAAGAAAGACCGTAATTTTTGTTTTGGTGTTGAGGAAGTGCTATCATTAGATTCATTTCACGTCAGAGGTTCCAATAAAATATATCAAGACTCTAGTAGACCGTGCTTTCAAGTTCTGTAATACGACCGAAGGCCTCGAGAAAAACTGGGCATAATCAAAAATGATCTTCAACGGAATGGTCACTCCAAGGTGATGGTGAAACAGACTTTGGCTAAAAGACAGCAAGCTTAGCTGCAAGGAGAGAAGCCTTCACAATCAGTATTTGCATCTCCCTACATCAGAGAATTGCCAAAGAGGCAACATCTAATTCAGCCAAGCTAGGGTAGAAATACGCAACATATGGAAACCCATAATGAAGCGAAAACGCTCAACTCCGGCCAAACTGTCAGCCCCTGCTAAACCGGTGAAGCGGCGAGAGGGAAGGGGGGATGAGTGAAAGCACTCGAATGACCTATAAATGGTAATCTCTCGAAGGAATAAGGAACAATCTTCAAATTTGTTCCTTTCGGTTTGGTTAATAGATATTATTATTGCTTTCTGAAAGAAAGATATTAAGGATGAAAACTTCGAAATAAAGACCCCGTATTCTTTCCCAATAACTTGCACACGCGTTTATACTTTCCTGTTCAACATAAATATGAAATATGTATTTATGCAGATCCAGCCGGGGCATTCTACCTTTGCCAGGTGTATCGAATGCTTTCTAAATTCCTAACAACTTCCCCGAATACCCTCTCAACCTGAATATTTTCGAGTTCATTTTCCGCCTTCTTAGCCCCGGATTGATGTCTTGTGCTGCTGTGAAACGTCAAACTCTGGACGTAGCAAATATTTCCGGATAAAGGAGAGGACTTGAAAGACACGCTTGATTGGATCGTCTGTTTTGTCACAGCTCCAAGAGGATGCCGTCCTGAAATTGGATCGACCAGGCATGGCGATCTTTGGATTTTTGTTCGAAACCGTAAAGCGATGGAAATCGCGGGTTGATGATCCAATGAAAATTGTGAGTCGTGAGCTTGATTACGTTTATGGAGTTATTGAAATATTGATTTTTATTTGAATGTTTTTTTGGTTACAATGGATTACCGAACTCCAATTTCATTATCAACTATTCTTCTATAGTCCTATTCAAAAAATATTTGCTGGCGAGAGGGCATATGAAGATTTTTTCGAAAAATCTTTCAAATGTTATAATACAAAGAGTTAAAGTAGCAGTGTGCATTACTTGCAGAAATGTTTTCACAGAAGTTATTTGTTATGTCTGAAAAACCATATAACAATATTTGGAATATATATTGTTTGTTGTGAAGAAAGTGATATGGTTAGCTTAGGTTAAGTCCAAAGTGAGTGGGTCTATTCGAACCTCCACCGCAACCCGCAAGGGTTTATTGTGGCTCACACCTATTCACACTCGACCAAATAAACCCAGCTTCTCAACGAAGCCGATTAGTGTGTATGGTGAGTGGTCTTTTAGCTCTGATGGTAAGTGTACGGCTTTGCCGAACTTTAAAAACCTGATTCGGACCCCAGCGGGGCAGAAACAAAGTATATGCTCTGCTGTTTCATCGCTAATGGGGTAGTTGGATAGTCAAGGTGCAAGATTCCCACCTTGATACCCGCGACAACCTTTCCATATGAGGGTTTTTGCATGTCAGCTACACCTGACGATGCCTGAGATTTAACCGTGCAGGACTTTTTCGTCTCTGACTTTGGTGAATCATCACTTGAGCGCAAACGTTTGCTAACCTGCTCATGGCGAGTTTGTTTCTCCACCTGAGACAGATTCTGCGTGGTGCAAGACGGTTTCATAAAGTACCCCGCTCTTGAGGAGACGACTCAGTCGTTTCTTGGCGGCACCACCAAACCTTTTTTTAGGTTCAGTTATTGGATCAGGAGTTGTAGAGTTGAGAAGCTCTCGCACCTGATCTAAATTCACAGGGAGGTCAGTTGGAGTCGTGAGCTTGACACCCATCTCCCCTGTAGACTTGCTCTTGATCTAAATTTACAGGGAGGTCAGTTGGAGTCGTAAGCTCGACATCCATCTCCTCTGTTGACTCAGCGTCAGAAAGAATTTTTAAGTTTACTCTGTCCATAAAAGTCCCACGAGTAGCCAGGGAAAGAAGGTCAATCACGGCAGAGCCCCGCATTACCGTGACAAGGCGATCTTACGAAGAGAGAGCGCCCGGTATCTCGAAGGTTCCGTAGAGATAGTTGATAGTCTCAGTGTCATCCATCCTCTCGGCATCCCAAGCCAATGCACTCGCCAAAAACAGCATGCACGGTGCTTCAAGCAGTAGAAGATGAACAAGGACAGCTAACACGCCAAGTGATATGGTACCTCAAGATCGAAGTAGGCCTTCAGACCTGAAACATACCAAATTAATCAGTGACGGAATCTGTCTGTTCAAAATCTGTTTTTCCGTTAATCAGCTGTCGCCCCCATACGAACGACAACTAAGAAGAAGAATCATTCAAGTTTTCTGGTGAATGAAAATACCAATAGCAACAGAAAGTCTGTGGATAGCTCATACAGCTCAAGAAAAATGTCAATTTGATACATATATTAACATTGAAAACAATCAACTTTCAATATTTCAGACAGAAAGGGAAAAATGGACTGAATTCGTCAGCATAAAAACTTGTATTGTCGGATATAATCTTGTCGGACAAAGTCTATTATAGGTGTAAAAAACCCTCTATTCATCTTACAAAGTAACAACATATGAAAATAATTTCTAGAAAGCCATGAACCCTAAATTGTGCCCTCTTGGTGGTGTATGCTTAAGTTGTTTTATCGCGAAGGTGAAAGCAATGACAACTTAACATTTCAACCAAGTTTACTTGTTATTATATACTCATATTATACATCAATAATTCATAGGTCTGTACTTCTTTTACTATCTCATCTTTCAATTTTTTTAATTATTTTCAATATCCTTATTTTATTGACAGTTTCCTATACAACTATGAAACAATCATAATGGAAATGAAGTATTATTATTAAAATCAGAATTATGGAATTAACCTTCCAATAATCGCACCCAGTCACCCGTACGAAATTATTCCTTCGATAATTTAGTGGTATTCCATATAGCCACCTTCAAAATATTCAGGAGACACTTTTTTGTGAGATTTCCACGAAACAGTTTACAAATCTGCTACACCTGTTTCAATCCACAATAGTTTTCTCAATCGTTTTCATAATGCCTAATTTCTACCTGATTTGTGTTCTATAAAAAAACAATTTCAATCATATG